ACGGTATGTTCAACGACGCAGAGGAGAAACTGGAATTTTAGACAGGCAACACCTGCGTCAAGACCTGGAGGTACAAAGCGGAAGTTGCTCGAGCAATCTGGAGGAAGGGGGTCCGGGCAGGAAGGCACCAGCGTGTTCAAACAGCCGGGACACCTGGTGGAAAGGGACCGAGGGAAGCGTGTGCTCCACAGAACGGTGCCGGGGGGCCTTGGAGCCACCCCAACACACCTGCCGTGGTATTCCTAACAAGGCAGCCCAGCACGCCTCCACCTCCCTAACTGCCTTAACCAACAGCGCCGAGGCGAGGCCGCGGGACGTCCAAGGCTACATCACAAAAGCACCCTGGATCCTCCACATGAAGAAGCTGGGAAGAGCCTAGCACCGGGAGACATGAGAGTCTTCCTTCCCCGGGAGAAGGCCGGCCCCCGGAAGGGCCCCTCGCTGTTCCTGTGTTGGCACCCGGGCTCTCCGCCAACCTCAGCGCCCTGGTGACAGCAGGGTCTCCCCCTGGGGTGAACCCCTAGTCAGCAGTAGCCCGCACCGGGCCTGGCAGGGTGTGAACTGGGGCCGTGAACTGGGGTATGGGCCTCGAGGAGCTCCCAGGGAGGGGTGAGGCAGGGGCTGCGGGGGCTGCTGTGAGCTTCGCCCTGCCCCACCCACACCCACCAGGTCTGGCTCTGCCCAGGTGAGGCCCCTGCCAGGCAGTCCAGCTCTGCAGCATACCGTCACCTGTGGGCTGACAAAGATCTTCCGTGTTCCCTCAACCCTTCCAACATGGTCCTGCCTTACAGATAAACAAACTGAAGCTTCCAGAAGAGACCCCTCAGGGCTCCCATGGCCAGGCAGTGGCATGGCTGGGGCTGGGACCCTGGGCCCGACCTCCACTTCCCCTCTGCGACCACGAGCTGCCCGAGGCCACCCAGCCCCTCCCCACAAGGGACAAGGAAGTTCCCGCTGCATCCACAGCGGCCCCTCCAGACTCCACAGTGAGAACTGCCCTTCCTGCTGGAACCGGCTGGCTGCCCTGGTGGTGACAGGCCACACTGGACCACGGGTGGTCTCGGCCGCAGCTGTGAGGACAACAGACAAGCCACCTTCCTGGGGCAGCCTCATTCCCAGGAGAAAGAAGTGAGGGGTCTCCTCCCCCGCACCTTGAACACGAGGCCCTAGATTATGTACCTTCCGCTCCTCTGGGAGGTGGGCGCCTCCAGGACAGGGGACTCAGCCGAGCGCTCCAGGGGCAGCTTCCCACAGCCCACTACCTGAGGGTCCCCATTTCTGACAGCCCCACAGGACTAGGAAATGGGCTCAGAGAGGGGACCTGAGGCCGGAAGGGACATGAGAGGCTGTGGCCCGGAGGGCTGGCTCTGCCCAGACTGGCCATGGCCTTGCTGTGCGTGCTCCACTGTGGCGGGCGCAGGATGAGGGTACACAACCTGTGGGAATGGGAAGTGGGGACTGCGCCCTGCAGGCCAGACTCCAGGGAGGCAGGGGCGAGGCCACAGAGAAGGAGAGGCTGGCCGGCGGTGCGGGCACAGCTGTGGTGGACGGACAGACCACCGAGGGGCAGCACACAGACCTGGGGACAGAGCTGCCTACCGCCCGGCCACCTGCCAGCCCACCTGCCAGTGGGGAGCGGCAGCAGCGCCTGGACGCAGCTTAAGTGGGTGCCTCGGCGGTCCTGCTTCGTCCCGCCCACTCCCAGTTAGAGTCTGAGCTCCCAGTGGGACAGAAACGGCCCTTCCCACTTTATAGACAGGGCTGCAGGCCAGGAGGCTGCCAGCCATCAACACCCAGCCAGCCCCTTGGGGCCCTGGGAGGCGTGGGGTCACCCAGGTCACGGCCCACCTAGGATCAGTGTCAGGTGGTCAGTGTCAGCTGCCTCCAAACCAGAGGCAAGAAGGAGGAGCCCAGAGAGGCCGAGAGCTAGCTTGGTGGAAGGGGGTCATAACTCAAGCCGCCTCTGCTCCCTGTCGGAGGGGCCCATCCTCTGGCTCCTGCAAGCATGCTGTTCACCCTGGCCGGGCCCGCTGGATGCACCTCGCCCAGGAGGAGCCAGGGCTCAGGCCACATGGGCCCCAGCAGTGTGGCCTCCCCATCAGGAAGGGGGTGATGGTGTCCTGAGAGCCTGTGCCTGGGACCAGTGTGCCTGGCCTGGCCGGCCCCCCTTCGCAGGTACATGTCCCACTGGCAGGGGATGTGCAGAGCCCATAGGCCAAGCATGGCCATCCCCGGGGCGGTGAGCAGCTACCAAAGCAGCCAGGCACAGCCCTCCGGGGCGAGGTGTCCCCAGAGCTCCACCTGCACACAGTGCTTTCCCTCTCAACTCTAGTCTTCCCACGGAAACAAAGGAAGAGGCTCTTGTGCTTCGCGCGGCCATCAGCCCGGCGTGCAGGTTATGTGGGAGCCTGTCTGGGGCAGGGGTGTCTCAGGCCAGCCGCACAGCATGGCCCTGCGGCCCTCCTTCCCACACTCCACACGTGCGGGCAGCCTTGATGGGAGCGGGCCAGCACTGCCCCAGGCCCACCTCTAATACTCGGTGATGAGAAGGTGGAGCTCAGGCCGGGCCCAGGAGGCCAGAACTCAGGAGGAGCACAGCAGAGTCTAGGCCCCGGGCGGCTGTGCTGATAAGGCTGTCTGTGAGCAGCTCTGGCCTGTAGGGCAGAGCAGGGAGGAGCAGGCGGAGGGGAGCTGAGTTGGGTGGGGCACAGGAGGGCAGAGGCGCAGAGTGGGGCTAGGTAGGGGAGGGCTGAGCGGGCAGGGCTGAGTGGAGCCGAGCAGGGATGAGTGGGGAGGAGCTGGACTGAGCTGGACTGAGCTGGACTCGGCAGGACCGGTGGGGTGGCGCTGGACAAGGTGGAGCTGTGTGGGCCGGGGCAGAGCTGAAGGGCAAGGCTGAGTAGGGCGGGACACATGGAGCTGGGTGGGGCAGAGGTGGGCCGAGCTGGGCAAGGTGGGGACGCGCAGGGTGGGGTGGGGCCGAGCAGGGCGGGGCCACCCTGTCCCCAGGGCCAAGCCGTTCTGCAGGAGGAGCAGAAGCAGCCCAGCAGGATGGAGCAAGGGGTGGAAGGACAGCGCGTGTGGCTCTGCGAGCCAGAGGTCCAGGCACAGGCGCCCCAACTGGGGGTCGGCACTGCATCTGTGGGGCTCCAGGCCCCCATCCCACCCCTGGACAGTCACACTGCCGCAAAGTGGACCCAGGGCTGGGCAGGCAGAGACCCACCTGTACAGTGAGCTGATGACCCTGCTGGCCACGAGCAACTCCCCCCGTGGGAGCCACGTGAGGACGAGAGGCTGCCTGCGGGGGTCCTCACTGGCCGCAAGGAGGGCAGCGCTGACAGGGGTGCAGGCCCCAGGCCTCTATCGCTGTGGTGGGGGTGCTAGCCCGTCGTACAGTTCATTCAACTAACGTCAGGCCAGCTACGCAGGGCCCTGGGGACTGGGCCTGACACGTGATGGGGGGCCCTGGAACTGGCGGACAGACAGTAAGAGGCTAGCCGCCAGAGGTTGGGAGGGACAAAGGGGCAAATGTGGGGGGTGGTAAGAAGCCTGCTCCGTTCCACAGGGAGACTGCAGGTGGCGGCGGCGTGTGAGTCACCCACGCGTGTCCTGAGGCTGCTGCCCACACCTGCCCACACCGCTGTTCACTGTCCCCTGTAGCTCTGGGCAGCCCCCGAGCACCCTGAGCAGCTGGGCTGTGGGCCGGCCCTATGGGGGCCCGGGGCAGTCCACCTGTCCCCAGGACTCCAGCCTCTGCCCCCCCACTATTCACACTGAGCGGCTCCGTCACCGGGCCCAGCTGCACAACTGGGGACAGACCCACGGGCAAGCCCGACCGCAGGTCCACATCACCCTCATGCTGCACATGAGGACATAAGCTCCCCGTGAGGCTGGCCACGGTGGTCCCCGGGTGACCCCCACTAGTCTCCGAGGGCTGCAGAATAGACTGGCTGAATTCAGGCAGGTCCCACGCTACCCCAGGTCCTAGATGGGCCAGGGCCCCGGGCCCCCACTCTCGGCTGACGGGGCCAGTCACCCCTGGTAAAGCCCACCCTCTGCCTAGTCACCACACAGAGAACCAGAGCAGGGCCCAGGCCTGGACTGCCCGCTGTGGGAGGAACCGCACTCACACGAGGGACTCCTCGGAACCCCATCCTGCAGCTTCGCCTTCAGAGGTGGGCCCCCACCTGGTGCCAAGACAAGGCCCCATCCTCGAGCACAGCACCCCCACCGCCTGGCTTCCCAACCTCTGCCCTTCTCCCCACCACCCACACGCGGTGTGCCAGAGGGGCTGCTGGGCCCTTCCTACAGGGACCTCAGTTCCTGAGCCAAAGAGGAGGCAGAACTCCCTGCCTCTCGGGACCCCAGCACCCCATGTCTTCAGGGGCAACCATGCTTGGATCCCTTTCTCAGCTTCTGGTGGAAAGCTAGTCTTGCTGTAACAGAAGGGCCATGGGTGTGTGTGTGTTCCTTCTCTGGATGTCCCAGCAGAGGGGAGCAGCCCATCACCTTCCCCTTCGAGGAGCAGGACAGTGTGAAGGGCCAGGGGCTTCTCAGAGGCAGTGGCTGAAGTGGGGAGGGGGCCCTAGAAGTAAGGCTGAACCCCGCCTCCCTGGCAGGGCATCCACCTCCTTCCAGGGTGGGACAGCAAACATGGCAACAAGTCCTGCACCGGTGACTCAGTTTACCAACTTGCCCACGTTCCTGTTTTTCTAGAACAAGCCGCTTTCAGAGGACATGTGTCCAGAAACCCAGCTCCTGGAAGCAGCTCCAACTTCCCGGGCAGATGAGGAGACAGAGGCCCGGGGGGAAGAGAATGCGCCCACAGGTACACGCGGCGGCTCGCGGGGGCTCACGGAGGCTCCGGGCCCACTGTTGGCAGAGCCAGCGTCCCGCTGCGTTCTCAATGCACTTCCAGTACCCAGGGACGAGAGGCCAGTGGGGCCGTCACTCGCACAATCACAGCCCCCACATACACACTCATCAGGCCAGGTCCTCACCTCAATCTGCAGGATGGCCTCCTCACGCAGCCGGATGGCCTCCAGGTCTTCCTCCGTGATCTCCGGAAGCAGGGCCTGCTCCTGGCCCTGCCACATGCTGTCACCCCCATTAAAGATCTTTTCATCATCAGGCAGCTCAGCAAAAGGGGCCCGGGGACTCTGCTGACAACAGACACAGACCAGTTAGCGCAGGTGCGCTCAGTTGCCACCCGGCCCAGGCCACCGCTGCTCCCCGGGCTCGCGGCAGGCAGCTCCCCGTTGGGGCTAAGCCTCGGCTCTGGGCACCAGGGGCCCCCAGGGGTCTGCAGGCCCCGCAGCCTGTAATCTTGGAGGGGAGGGGAACCACAGCCCAGGTTCTGCAGCCCTGACGGGGGCTGCGGCCATGAGGCCTCTGGCCAGCCGCGTGGGGCTGCTGCAGGGATCAGGGTCCGGCAGACGCCCTGAGCCCACCTCGGGCCATCCCAGGCCTGGCTTCAGGGCACACTCGGCAGCCCCCCACCCCCACAGCCCTGCTGGAGCATGGACTCCTCGCATTCCCAATTCTTGGTGATAACCCAAGAAATGATCCTTCGCATGTGAACATAAACTGGAGCTTCTCACAGGCCTGTGAGCCACTGGAAGTCCATTCTGGGGGCGGCCACAGGTCACAGTCGGGGTCTAGCCGCCAGGCAGGGGCTGCGGAAACGGAGGCGTGGCCTCCTACACAGCAGGGCGCACACACCACCAGGGGCGGTGGGTCCTGCACACGCCCTTGTGGAAGCTGGGCCCCAGGAAACGGGAGCCAAGAGGGCTTTTTATGTCATTTCACTCTGTATTGATTGCTTTTAATTTACCAAATTTTGGAATTCAATAAAATGCGGCTTTTCCCTTCAATTAATGATGTGCTCACTGATGGGACTCTGAGTACAAGTGAGCAGACGTGCAGGAGTGCCTGTGGGGAGCTGTCTCCACCCTGCACACCCCCAGGGGTGAGGGAGTGCAGGAGGTAGGAATGGGTCCCACTGTGGAGCCCTGGCTTCCCACGGAAAACGTGCAACAGGGAAGATGACGATGTGCCCGCCTCAGCCCCACCCCCCACCCCCCACCCCCCCCACCCCGCGAGAAAGCCAGGCCCTGGCTCACAGCCCGCTCCCCACCCTCCCACCCCCAGTTCAGCCAAGGTGCGCTTCACGTCAGGGCTGGGGGGTTGGGGGGCGCGTACGTACACGTGTGTACACGTGTGAGTGTGTATGTGTGTGTAAGAGAAGGGACTCAAAGGGCCACTGGAGGATGAGCAGAGCCACCTGGTGACCCCATGCTCCTCACCTCCCAGTACGTCAAAGCACCTTCCAGCCAGCTATCTCCAACAACCCCGAACACCCTGCAAAGGAGTGCTGCGCCCATTTTACCAATGAGGACACTGAGGCCAGGACACCAAGGAATCCACAACAGGCAGGATGTGAAGCGGGGACTCCAGGCTCCAGTTCCGACACAGAGGAGCTCCAGGGCGAGAAGCGAAGAGACCACCTGCCCGAGACCAGGGCTGAGGGAGTGGCCGGCCTGAGCCCCTGGCTGGAGCAGCTTCCTCCCCAGCTGACTCCGTCCCCCAAGCTGCACCAGGGGGTCCTCGGCTCCTCTCCTGCCCTCAGTCCGGCCCCAGGTGCTGACTCTGACCACAGCACCCTCCTCCTGCCCAGAGGTCGCGCCGGCATGGGGACAGACAGCAGGGTGCAGCCGCCACCCCCAGTCACCCAATGCTCGAACACTGGTCGAGCCCCCTCGAGTGTCTGGGCAACAGGCCAGGCCTGAAATGAAGGGTTGGCCATCTCTCACGGGACCTCCCTCCACAGGCTCCACGTGTCCAGCACACCCCACCTGGGCAGCCCGGAAGGAGGCTTCGGAGGCTACCACCTGCCTCTTCTCTTCTTTCCCTTTGTGACAAGCCCACCTTCCCACCCTCCTGCGCCACTTGGGGCCACAGGGCAGGGTGGAGGGTGCTGGCCATGCCACGGCCCAGCATGGCCCCCACGGGCAGCCTCCAGAGGGCCTTACCTGTGGGGAGAGCACCACGTTTCCCGCACACTCTCCAGGCCCGTGCTGGCCCGCCCTGTGCCAGGCCTGGGGGGTACAGTGGACAGACGGCAAGAGCCCCGTGTCCCGATGGACTTGGCTGGACACAGAAACCAACAAGTCACCCAAACAACAATTTCAGCAGCTTTGACAAAGGCCTGCAGAAGGCCCTGGTGGCCACGGGACGGCCACCGCTGGGAGCCACGGCAGGGACAAGGCGGGAGGCCAGGTGCTCTTTCTCTGCAGCGTGGCTCACGACCTGTAAGGTGGGTACGATCACGCTCAGGTAAAGAGGTCGACGGTGCGGGTCCCCCGGGGGAGGGGGAGGCCCCCACTAACCCAGTTCTCCTCCAAAGCTGACGTTCTGCCCCCACACCACGCTACTGCAGGAGGAAGCTCTTCCCCCATTCCCCCAGAGTCAGCAGAGGCCTTTACAGAAATAAAGACGTGGCTACATGAACATAAAATAAAAGATCTAAAAAATCTGTTAACAAGCGCTACTGGTCCAAGGTGGCAATTACCACCTTCCCTTCCCGGCGTGGGCGGGAGGAAGTGAGCGGTGCTGGAGGGTGGCAGCGGGAGGGGCTGCCACGGAGCGAGCACAGCTTCTGGCCCAGTACCATACTCTCTGGGCCTCAGTTTCCTCATCTGCAGAATGGAACAAGGGCCCCACATCCCCAGGTGCTCACCACACAGCTGCGCCACTGGTCTGACCTGTCTCGCGTCCCTTTCAGGCACTGCTGGGCACCCTACCTTCCACCAAAAGGGACCGAGCAAGGGTCTCTTTGCTAAGCACTCACACCTCGGCCCAGACGCAAGGCCCAGGGCCCAACCCTCGCTGGCTGCCAGCCCAGCAAGTTCCCTGGCTTCCCCCAGCCCTGTCCACCCTCGGTATGGCACTGACACCACTGCCCCAGAGTCCGAGAAGTGAGCGAGCAGAATGAAACACCTCGCTGCATCAGCAGATGCACATGAAGATGACATGCCAGTGGAAGGAGGGGAGCCGTGAGGGACCGTGCTGCCCCTGGTGCAGGCGCCCACCCCCAGGGGCCCGTCCCACACCAGGCCACACAGCCACTGGCTCCACTGGGGACACTGCCTGGGCATGATGCTCGGGAAGCTTCCCGGGTATACCTGACAATCCCCAAGGGCCCCTTGTCTGTGCACCCGGGGACAGAAACGCAGGAAGGCTCACTGCAAGCACGTGCCCTGGGAGAAGGAACTGGAAAAAACCACCATGACGCCCACAGACCAACAGGCAGAAGCACGCAGACACGGGGTGATAGATGTGCCCAGGACACTACACGTAACCTTCCCTGGACTCTGGGGCCCGTGGAACCAGCCCGACAGCTGGGAGCAAAAGGTGCCTGCACGTCCTCACCTGCACAGGTACTGCCAGCCTGCACCCCCACCCCCAGGAGCTCGCGACAAGCTAGGGCAGCAAGACATGGCTTGGACACCTGATCTCCTGAAAGGATCAGAAAGCGCCCCTTTATTCTCCTCACAAAGGCCCAATTTGGGAATTAGGATTTGCTGGCAAGGCGCTGGGGCCGGTGCAGAGGGGACAGCCGTGTGATGGTTCTCCAGCACAAGAGGCAGCCAACAAAGACGGCTTTCTCCTCCCTCCAAGGCCCATGGTTTGGGTCCCACTCTGTACGGAAGAAACCCACAAACCAACGTGACTGCTGGACCGCGGGGCTGAGAGCAGTTTCCCGTGAGAAGAGCCAAGGCGGGGAGGATGCGCAGCAGGCTCCCTGGGTTCTCAGGGACTCTGGGAAACAGGCCACTTTCTCGCGCACTCCGACCCTGGGCTCCGCACAGGAACGTCCATGACCCCGGTGGGAGGGCAGGGGTCAGGGCGCGAGCCAGTCATGGGCTTGGGAAAACTGCTTCTGTTTAGTAGCCCAAGGCTGGTCATCAATTTCTCCAAATAATAAATGACTCTGTTTGTTAGCTAATGGAAGTTTCTGGAGACTCGTCAAAGCCCAGAATGTCAGAAGTGGCATGACGAGAGCAATCTGTCCCCCAACACCCACATGAAATAATAGTCCTGGGGCCCAGAGGCCAGGGGCACCCCCGCCCTGTGCCTGGTGGGGAAGTACGACAGGATTCCCAGCGAACACAGGAAGATGAAGCATGTCTTTCCCGCCATGGCTGCAAACACACGGAGCTCTGGCAGAAACCTACGCTGAGCCTGCCGATGGCAGTGCACTCCGCGGGCTGTCCCCAGTGAGGGGCAGAAACCAGCCCAGACACACCCGGCGCTGCCCCCTGGCTAGGCCTGATCGGGTCTGAGACTGACCGTGGACCTGGCCCGGAGGGCTGACCTGCTCATGGCCATGGCCGGCACTCGGCTCCGATGGGAGAAGGTGGTGGGTGGGCGCCCCCACCACCCACCAGGACCGCCAGCCTGCAGACAGCATCCCCGAAGTCTGCGAGATCAGTGTCACAGCCACCCCTGTGTTGAACAGGGTGATACGTCATCTCGCTGTTCAGTCTGCAGAATTCCTGGAAATACTCTCATCTTCCATAATTTCTCAGAAACACTGCTGACCATTCTCTTCCTTCTTAAAAAAATGTGGCTGAAACACAACACATCTTCGGTCCAGAAATCAGAAGTGCGCAGGTCTGAATTCTTACCAAGAAAAGACTTCAGGCAGGACACGGAACATCACCAGGACCCCAGACGTGCCCCTGCAGCCCCCCAGCCACCATGCTGCCCCCAACCAAGGGAAACAACCGTCTGGCTTCTAACCCTGCCCATTACTTTGGCCAGGGTTTGCCCTCCCCTCTCTCTGGTTTCAGGCTTCTTTGGCTCAACACTCTGTCCGAGATCACACGGTGGGCCTTGCTGGCAACAGCTGGCTCTCTGGAGCTGCAGGCCCCGTGTGGGAATCCAGCACAAATGATCCGGCGGCCGCACCGCAGGCTGGCTCTCTTCCCAGCGCCTGCTACCTCCTGTCAGCCGCCATGAGCGCTCTCCTGCACAACTCTGGGTGAATGCACATGTGCACCCCCACCGGGCCGTGCACTTGGGGAGGGACTGCGAGTTCGCAGGAAAGAGAGCGCATGAGTCCAGGAAGTGTTTCAGGGTCCAGAGGATGGCGTCTGCCAGCTCCCATTGGCACAGGCTTCCGGCTGCCCCGCAGCCTCCCAGCACTCTCGAGGCTGACTGCGCTGAGTACTCCGGTGGGTGCAAGGGGGCGGGCAGTGACCGAGCCCCAAGGGCTCCTTTGGCCTGCTTCGGATGACGCCTGCTGAGCACACGTTCGTGCACTTGCCAGCCAGGTGGATGTCCCCTTTTGTGACGTGCCTAAGGCTCTTGCTCTTTCATGGTTTTGAAATGAGTTGTCTGCCTCTTATTGATTTCTTAGAGATCGTCACATATTACGGACATCAGTCCTTTCCAGACATGCATACGTGAACACCTTCTTTCACACTCTAGGTTCCCTTTTCACTCGCTTAAGGGTGTGTTAATTTAAGGATGTCAAGCTGATCTGCTTTACACTTGGTACGTTTTCATCTGTGTAAGAAATGTCCGCTCACCATAAAGATGGGAAGACAGACTCCTATGGTATCTTCCAGAAGCTTCATTGTCTTACCTTTCACATGTAGGTCCATGTTCCAGCCGAAGTGCTTCCTGCAGGTGGGGGGAGGGTTGCGGTAAAGGGTCTGCTGGCCATGGCAGTCTCGTGCATGCGCCCTCCTGGCCCCTCTCAGCCACATAAGAACGGACCACGGCCTGGAGCACTTTCTCACCAAGAGACAGAGCCTTCACAGCTGTGCCAGGCTTGCTGGCTCGTAAGACAACGTCTTTCCCTGTTTCAGACTCGATGCAGACTTCCTTGTTCGGCGAAAGCACGTGCATCCCATGGCACCTGGCCAAGCCCACTGCTGTGTCTGTCCCCTGCGCAGAGGGGACAGGGTCCTTCTGCTGTAGTACGGGGGAGGCGTGCAAGCCAACAGCCCTGCATCAACCGCCAGGAGGGACCTGCTGGCCACAGGGGACCATGCCCACCACGGGAGCAGATCTTGCTGGCTCTTCTCCTCACAGGGACTGAATGCACTGTTTCCTGGTGACTCCAACACCGAGATGCAAGGCTAGAGGTGTCTGGACTGGGACTTGTCACTTGCTCAACAGGATCCTTTTTCCCAGCTCAAATCCTGGCCAACCCAGCATCAAGCCTGAATAGACCCTCCATTCCCTAGTGCATGGCAGCACCCTTGCTCAAACAGCTGTTCGAAGGCTTCTTCCTAGTCCCAATGCCATTCCAAATGGTGTCACTTTCTAAGTTTCATTTGCACACTGTCTTCTGCTAGCACACAGTGCTTCCCTGTATACTGACCCTGTTACCACCGCTTATTAGCTCTAAGTTCACTGCAGACTCATCCACATCTTCCAGTAATGCAGTCACACGGTCTCTGATGGGGCTTCTTCCTCCCCAGGTCTCCATACGCCTCTCACTTCTGTGTCGTGTCTCGGGGCACTGGACACGCCCTCCAGGGCAGTGGGGCAGAGAATAGTCCTAGACCCGAGTCTCGTCCTCGGTCTCAGGAGGGAAGCTTTTAACGTCTCAGCAGTAAGGGTGGTGCTAACTATAGGGCTTCTGAAGACACCCACACTCAGGTTAAAGGCATTCGTATCCACCAGCCTGCTGAGAGCTCTGTTCCCCACCCTCGGTGGTGCTCTTCTCTCCCTATTGGGATGATCCAGCAGATTCTCTTACTTTATGAACATGGCGGCTTACATGGGGTTATTTCCAAATGTAAACCAACTCCATACCCCCAGAATGAGCCCCACTTTATAATGACGTATTACCCTTTTATATATTGCTAGATCTAGCCTTTTAGTGATTTGGTTAGGGTTTTTGCCCCTATGCTCATGAGAGAACATGTTAGTTTCCTTTTTGTGACACCGTCATAGGAACTTGGAATGACGGTTTGCGGGCCTCGTAAAGCAAGGTGATATGTGTTCCCTCTTTTTGTGTTTTATTTAAGAGTTTGTATAAACTAGTAATATTTATTCCTCAAATACCTGGAAGAATTCACCAATAAAATCATCTAGGTCTAGAGTTTTTTTGGTGGCATTTTAACAATGGGAATTATTTAATTATTGATTTCATTTCTGTAATAAATACTGGGCTTTCCAGACTTTCTGTAGGTCTTGGTAACTCACATTTTTTTCTAAAAAAAAAAAAAAATTTCTATTTTATCTGTCAAATTTATTGATGTAAAGTTGTATCATAGTATCTTCAAACTTCTATTTTTCTTAGTGTGTAGTATCCACAATATAGTCATTGTCATTCCCGATACTAGTAATTCGTTCTCTATGTATCGTGACTAATCATGGGGGATTTATTACTAATCTTTCCAAAAAATTTTTTTGGCTTTGTTGGATTTGTCCAATACATATCTACTTTATATTTCATTGGTTTCTGCTTTTTCTTATCTATTTTCTTGGAATTTAATCTGGTGTTGCTTTTTCAGCTGCATCAGATTGAGAATGAGCTCCGTGATTCTCACACTTTCTTCTTTCTGAAGGAAGCACGCGGAGCGCTGCTTCAGCCGCGTCCCGAGTTTGGATTTGTTGCATTCTCTCTGTTGTTCACTTCACGACGGTTTCCAATTTCCACCGTGCTTTCTTCTCTGATTTATGGGTTCCTTCAAATTGTATTATTTTCATTCCCAAGCCTGGAAATTGCCTTTTTGGTATCAAACGTGAGTTTAATTGCACTGATCCAAAAACGTACTTCAGGTTGCGTCATCCCTCTGGAACCTGTGCAGACTGGCTGGAGAGTCCAGCACGCGCTGCACACCGGCAGGAACACACGCTCTCCCGCGGCTGGTTACCGTGTCACGAGCGACCATTTGGCAAGACCACGTTCATTAATCGCACTGACAGCGTCTCTCAGATCCTCACCGAACTTTCCTGTCTCCTTCATTAGTCGTCTCGATAGCTGTGTTACAATCTCCACCTGTGACTGTAGATTTACCATTTTTCCTTTTATCACGGTCGGTTTTGTCCTGCGTATTGTGAGGCTGTGTTATCAGGCATGGAGGTAAAACCGCATCTTGTATGTGAATCGCCACGCTGTCCTGTGAGGCAGGGACGCCTCTCCGCACGGACTCGCTCACGCTGACACAGGCACGGGGCGCCGGTCTTCCTTTGCGCTGTGGCTTCCCATGTATCTCTGTCCATCCTCTAACTCTCAATACGTTTCTGGATTTATAGTTAACCAAGTCTGACAATCTGGGCCTCTTCATTGGAGGGGTCAGGTCATTCTGATGGAGTTATAAACAAACCCGGTATAAATCTACCATCTTACGACTTGTTTCCTGTTTTCCTTCCTGTTTTATTCTTCCTTTTTTTTTTTTTTTGGCTTTTTTTTAAATTAGTTGGTTTTTTTTATTTTTTCCTTTTTCTATTAACTCACTGTATAACTGATATTCTCGTGTTGTCCGTCAGTGTCCCCTGCATAAGGTGGGACGCACTGGCTCACCACAAGTTGCCGTAGGCCACAGCTCCTGTCGCTTCTTGGAGGCCGGAGACACTCAGCGTCCATGCGGCTCATCCCTACTCCCGTGCTGCCCGCCGGCCAGGCTCCTGGGAGTTGCTCTGCAGCCAAGCCCCGCAGGGAAGGAGCGTTGTTCAACAGCCAACGTTAGCTCTGAAGTGTCCACACATCAGTGCTTCCAGGACACGCGGCCCCTCCCGCTGGTGCCCGTCTGCCCAGGACCACTTCCCTCTGGTCCTGTCAGAGTTCTGTCGATGGCAAGTTCCCTCTGTTTATGCTTCTCCAAAAATGTTTTCATTCTACCCTCATTTCTGAAAAATATTTTCAGCAGGCATGGAATTCCACGTGAGCAACCACTCTCTCTCAGCACGTTAAAGATGGCTCCACGTTGTCGTCCAGCTTCCACAGACCCACCTCAGGCGTCAGGTGTAAGTCTTGTTGCTCCTTGAAAAATGACGTGACTTCTCTTCTTGGGCTTTAATCTGCTTTTAGGATTTTTTTGTCTTTGGTTTTCAAAATTTTATTATGAGTACAGGTAAGTCTAACCTGTTTATCACAGAGCTTCTTTAAGCTGTGGCTTGAAATATTTGGACAGCCTTGGAAAATCTCAGCCATTACACCGTCAAAGGCTGTTTCTGTCCACTCTCTCGCCTGCTCATCCAGGACTCCGGGCGTACTCGCGCCTCCCATTTCTATCAGCTTCTGCTCCCCGGAGGGCTGGTCGGGTCCAAGTCAGCCCCGCGCAGCACGCGGAACTGTCTGCACTCAGGACTCCATCTCCGGCCCATGCCAGGGAACTAAGGTCAAAATGCTTCTTTGTTTGTTTGTTTTCAAAAAGTTTTTAACGTTTTTAAAAAGGTTCTTTGCCAAGTCAGACCCCCTTAGATGGGGCCTCTGCCCAGTGCTTCCCACTTCTCCCCAAACACAAAGGGCACTGGACGCTGGGCCGTCACCCAACGCCCACGGACCACAGGAATCACTCGGCACCCACCTGATGTTTGCCACCCCGCTGTGCTGTGGGAAGCAGGGCTCTGGACTTCTCTGCAATTTTCTGATAAAGAATGGAGGGAGACAGGAAGAACAGAAAAGATGGGGAAGAGAAAAGAAACGGTCAGATAAGCACAAGGTAGTGGACAAGGCCTGACAGCAGAGCCCACCTTCAGCTCCGTGACAGGACACAGCTATCCTGGGCCTCAGGAAAGCTGGGTGCTGGGCCAGGTGCCAGGCCGGGCTCTGCCGACAAGCTGGTGGATGGCCCCCTCCCCCACACGTAAGCCCTGGGTCTCAGTGCCCTCCCCTGTCAGAACAGGAGTGCCCGTCCTTCCCACCTGCCAGATGCCTCCCGGGCAACACCCGCAGGTAAACATCCCCCACTGCACACACTGAGGTCACGGCTCCTGGCAACTGTCGGCCGTCTACAGGCCTGGCCCCTCCTCTGCTCGAGGGCACGGGACCCCACCAGGCCAACCCAGGGACAAGACTGCCAGAGGGGGAGCTGCAGGGCCGAGGCCCACCCCACCCGGCCCGCCAGGTCTCCCTGGGGAACCGCACCTTCTGCACCACGCCGTAGCGCTGAATGGCATCGGAGAGCTGAGTTTTCAGGCGGTCCAGCTGAACACACTCCTGCTGCAAAGGGAGAATGTGGGTTATAAGGACAGCGAGGCCTTGTCTCGCCCGCGGCCTCCTCCATCCCTGGGCACTGCAGTTCGCCACGATCGCCACCCCCATCCGCGGCCTCGCGCTGCCACCAGCGCGCTGCTGCTGGACTGGGCTCAGCCCCGTCTACTGTGCCCCAGCCATCACACGCCAGCACCCTTGCAGATGCCATCCCCCATCTTCAGCCCTGGCCGCGGAGCAAGGTGCCGCTCCACCACGATGCACCTGTCTGGTCCCCACAACGAGAAGTGTTACGACTTCTACCTGACGGCTCAGGAGGCCTGAGCCTGAGTTCTAAGTGGGTTCACGGCCGCACGGGGGTGGAGGCAGGCCATGAGGCCCGGCTGCTGACTCCAGGGACCTGCGGCTAATCACACGCCAGGCTGGGTCTCACCCCCAGGGTCAGAACTGCACTCATCAAACCTCTCTCCCACCGCCAGGCGCTCGGCAGCGCACGGCCTCCATCCTTCACGTCTTGTTCGCCAACACCAGTGCCCCAGATGATGCCTGGCACAGAGCCAGCGCTCAAGACATACTGCCGAGCAAGGGGACAGACAAGCAGGCCCCGAAAGCCGGCACTGCCTGCTCGGGTTTGCGTGAGCACCGCCCGGCTGCCAGAACCCGACCCTCACGTCTCTCCATGCTGCACCGGCACAAAGCCACACCAACGCCCTGTGCCCTTGCATCAGAACCACGACGTGGACTCCTGGCCCCTCCTGCCCTCATCATCTCCCAGGAGAGGCAGACCCTGCATCTCAAGTCACAGAGTGTGCACCCCTGCCGGGAGGCTTCTCTCTACCTCCAACTGGAACTCAGCCCCAAGCTTGGCGCCCGCCCCTCTGCCGCCATGCAGCTCACGTGAGCCCCTCCAGGAGAGCAGGCTGGCCACAGTTCAGGGGCACTTTTCAGAGGGCCTCAGTGTAGCCCCCGTGTGACTGTGGGTCTGAGTTAGTGTCCGGGGGAGGCTCTTGTGGGGGGCACTCTATGTGTGTCCCGGGACAGAGCCAAGAGCCCAGGGACTCTTCAGTGCTCTCCGGGCTGGGTGATCCAGCATCAGCCCCGTGTGACGGGCACAGCCTTTTCTCCGAGGGAGCAGGGAGCGATTCTAGTGCCTCCCAGCCAGGCTGTCCGACCACCGCCTCATGGGTGTCCTTCTCTCAGCCTCTCACACACAGTAGGTGTTCAATCAGTGTGTGCTGGGTTCTTAGATGGGTGGATGGACGGACAGACCAGTGGCTACGTGGGTGGGTAGACAAATGGAAGGACACATTAGGCTAAAGGCGATCCCTCCACCCCCCAAGGAACTCAAGCTCGGAGTCTCAGCCCTCGTGGTGCACACAGTGACCACATGGACTGTGGACCCAGAAAAACCAGAGTGGCAATCTAGCCGAGACTCCTCCCCAGCTGAGATGCTTCATGCAGGACACTCTCCAGGCCTCAGCATTCCTCCAGATAAAGGGGCTGAGGACAGCAACAGGCAGGACGGCCAGACGCACCCAACGTGAGCAACACGCACAGGGCCACGCAGCACGTGGCGTCTGCACCGGCCTCTCGCTCGGCGGACCGCTGTGGTCATCGGGTGGCGGCAGTGTCAGCTTCCCGGGCCTGTCGCGGGAACCCTCCACACCACGGTCCAGCCTCTGTCTGCAGAGGCCACACTCCCGCATCCCGGGCCGGGCAGGCACCCAGGTCTGCCGATGGAGTGGGCAGGCGCCCTGGGCAGCATGTGATGAGCGAGGAACAGCTACAGCTCTACTCGTGAACACAGCCCCTGTCCCAGGACCACCGAGAGCTTAAGAGTAATTAAGGCTTTGTGACACACGTCCCCAGCCTTTGGGAATGGGAGAGGGCGTGGATGACAAAGATGCAGATGTGCCGGCCCAGGAAAAGGGGGTGCAGGGAAGTAAGCGGCCAGGGATGAAGGTGATGGGGGGGGCTGCACGGGGGAGGGGCACAAGGTGATGTGAGGAGGGTCAGGGCTGTGAAGGGGGCTGTGGCTCCAAGGATGGTGGCAACTGTGACATCATTACGCGTGTGCTCTGATGATGAGCACTGGCGTGGGTGAGGACGCGGTGGTGCGGGGTGGCAGGGTGGGTGACGGGAGGTGGCGGCGGGGGCGGGGTGTCACGCGTCTCTGTCCAGACAATCCGGCTGGGACTCGGGGCCTCCAGAGCAGCGCCGGGCATACAGCAGGTGCCCAGCGAGCACATCGAGCTCCGGCCCAGGTGGCGCACCGGCCCAAGCCCAGGCCAGCGCAGGCATCCCGGGCCCACCCACCTCCCCAGGGGCCCCCCCCCCCCGGGCCCCCCCCCCCCCCCCCGCCTCCAGGGCCACATACCCGGGAGCAGCCCCGCAGGAGCGCCGACATCTGCCTCAGGGCACTGGTACTGGCTGCGATGGTCTTGTTGGTCTCCTGCTGCGCCGTGTGCCTGCAGCGGGGCCGGGGAAGAGAGAGAGGACAGGGAGGGGACGGCGGGAGGGGAAGGCCCCGAGAGCGGCCGGGGCGGCAGAAAGGTGACCAGACAAGAGCAGGAGCAGGGGTCAAGGGTCGCAGCGGCAGAAGAGTCAACAGGAGCAGGAGAACCAGCAGGAAGACCAGAGGCAGAGGCACAACAGAGCAGCCATGGGAGGGGACGAGGGTCAGAGGCCCAGAGAGACGGACAGACAGACACACCCACAGACGGAGAAGGCAGGGACAGGGCGGGGGAGGAGGGAGAGGACAGGGGTGAGCTTGGACTGGGGGGGACGGCCCGTAGCGCACATCACACCCGAGCTGCCACGGTCAGGAGCCCCGCCCCGCATGGCCGCTGCATGCCCCGCACACAAGCTGCGTCTGGGCCCACCTGTCCGGGGGTCAGTGAGGTCAGGAATCTGGGGGAGCAGGGTGGCCACAGACACCCCTGGCCCCACAGCCTCTGTGGGCCGGGATGACTCTCCCACCTCCAGCCCCAAGAACACTGGGGGCCGGGCCCAGGATTTTGGTTTGTGGTTCGTGGTTCTGAGTGTGACCTCGAAGGGACTGAAAAGACCAGCTCCTCACCCGCTTCGGGGAGACCATGGCCCCCCTAGACAGAGCAACACCGGGGGCAGACCCTGCCCTCGGGCCTTGTGCGGGCACATGCACCAGAGAAGAGCCCTCCTGACCCTTTGAGTTGCAGCCTGATGCCCCCTTTGCTCCCTGCAAGAGCCCGCGTGGCAGGGGTGGGGGCACCACCTGACCTGCGCCTGGGTCCCTGACACCTGCCCTTAGGCCACACAGACGGCGCAGCATAGAGCCGGCGGGGGGCGGGGGGTGGGGGATGGGGAGGAGCCCCCAGGCCAGCCTGGGAGGGTGTCATCTGAGGACCGCAGCGTGAGCACCCTTTCCACCGGGCCACCAACAAATTACGGGAAACCGCAGATTACAGTTTCCCCTCGGATTCACTCAATCATTGCGCACCACTGAGCCCCCCACTCTCCTTACTGCACCTCCCCCCATGGTCCCCACGCTCCCTCCCACCCCATGGCCCCCAGTTTGCCCTCCTGGCACCCCCCCGCCCCAGCTTGGGGCCATGCTGCTCAAGGGGCTTGGCTGGCTCCTCAGCTCCCTGATCTCTTGTGTCTGCACCCGGAGCTCAGACCCTGGACCACCCTCTTCGCTCCCCATGCTCACCTCCTGGGTGCTCTCCTTTAGCCTCGTGGCCTTCAGTCACCTGTGTGCCGCCGTCCCCCACACCCGTCCACAGCTGGGCCTGAACTCAGGCCTGGCCCCACCAACAGCCCGCTGGGCACCTCCACCTGGATGTCCAGTGGCGTCTCAAACTCCACATGCCCAAACCACCCTCCCCTCCGCGGGCTCGCCCACGGCAACTCCGTCCCTCTAGTCCCTCCAGCCAAAGCCCCAGGGCCACCCTTCCCAAAGCCTCTCTCCTCCCATTCTTGAGAGCAGTGCGACCCTCAGGCACTGACCCAGACTCGGGCCGCCTCTCGCCCACTGCTCCCACGTGCCCCCTCGTGCCCAGCACTGCATCTCACCAGCAGCCTGCAGCTGGCACATCGCGTCCGGCCACGCCCTCCAAACCCCAGAGCTCTGAGGCACGGCCGCGTGTGCTCCGTGGAAGCACAGTCCCCGCTCCTGTCACCTTGTCCCCCTGTTCTCACCGTGCTGGACAGACCCCTGCCTCTCTGCCTGCACCCCCTACCACCTCTGCAGCCACCCTGAAGGACAACGGGTACAGGCAGCCATGCCCAGGGCTTGTGACCAGCAATAGCCGCCCGGACAGAGGACACTGGACGGACGGGAGCGGTGGGACAAGTACCTCCGGCTCATGGAGGCCGCCGCCTTGGGGGGGGGTAGGCTCGCCCCCCCGGCCCCGCTCCCACCGCCCCCTCCACTTCTGCCCTGATGTCACAAAGTGCTCGCACTCCCGCCCCGCTGTGCCCCCGGCTAGAACACAGAAGCAGCACTGAGACAGTCCCTTCCACGACTGGGAGAGCCTACGTTCTAACATCTTGTTGAGGATCCCTGCTACTGCGTTTACAGGGATGTGCAGCACGTTTTCTCCTAGAGTCACTGCTCCGGTGTTGGTGTCAGCACCGCGCTGGGAAAGGCGAGCGCTCTGCCTTCTGCGGTGTGTGTGGTGTAACTACGACCTCTGATCCTGGGTGTTTGTGGGAATGTCTTTAAGGACACACGTAAATCCTCCGATAGAGAGCTATTTAGGTTTTCCCTTCCTTCTTGAGTCAGTTTTGAGAATTTCTATCTTTTGAGAAATTTTTCTGGTCCATCTTCGTTATGAAGTATCATAATAGAGCCACAATATTTCCTAATCGGCCTTTCCGTGTTGGATCTGGAGTCCTGGTCTCTCTCTTACTCTTTTTTGTTTCTGTTAACTGGTTCATGCTTTACGAATGGATGAGCTTTCTTCTACCTGTACGCTCTCTCCTTCCCTTGTGACTGGCTTGCTGGCTTCTCAGGCGGCCTGTGGATGCTGGTTTTTTGTCTTCTCTGCTGTGAGCAGGTGAGCCCCGCCCCCCCTTCCACGGCCGCTCCCACCGCGTCTGCAGCCCTCCTTCCTCGTGTTTCATTTCCTGCCAGTCTCCTCCTGTTGATGGTGTGTGCCACTCACACGGTGAGTGGGTCTCTCTACAAGGCTCTTCATGAAAACGAGCAGCATGGAGATGGGCCATCTCCAGACATCCTTGTGGCCCTGGCTGCCTGGCCCTGACCGATAGGTGCCCCCTCAGCCCCCCGTGAAAGGAATAACAGATCATGACCAAGAGGATTCCATCCCAGGAGCGCAGGGTTGACCTAACACTCAAAAAAACAGTGAATGAAATCCTCATAGTAACAGAATAAGTTTTAAAAGGAGAAAACCAGATCCGTAAATTATATAAATTACAAAAAGCATTTGATAAAATTCAACACATATTCGTTATAAAAACTCTAGGAAAACCAGAACAAAGAAGAGAACTTGTTCGGCTGAAGTCCCAGGACACAAGGCAACACAAAAAATCAGGTGTATTTCTGCATACTTGTAACCAACAACTACAAAGTGAAATTTAAACGATAATAATTTGTAGAATAGTATTAAAAAACACGAAATTATTAATGATATATTGAATAAAATACACACAAGACCTGCACACTAACCTTATAAGGAACTGCCGGAGAAAATGGAAGAACATTTATATCAGAGAAACCCTGACCATCTTCACAGGTTGGAAAACTCAAGATTGTTAAGAGGTCAATTCTCCTCAAGTTGGTCTACAGAGTCAATGCAATCTCAAGTAAAATTGAAGTAGAATATGAAAATAGCAGAAATTGACAAGCTATTCTAAAATTGATATTAAAATACAAAGCACCAGAAATATCCAAAAGAATTGCACAAAAAGATGAACAAAGCTGTAGGCACCCACAACGGATGTCAGGACTTACTCTAACACTTCAGTGATTAAGACAACGCGGTGCTGTCAAAAAGACAGACATATAAACCAATGAAACAGAACTACCCAAAATGCAGCCACACATACATGATCAAGTACTTTTTGGTTACCCTGGTGCCAAGGTACTCACAACAGGGAGAGGGTAACCCTCTCAACAAACAGTGGGGAATAACTGGATAATCATATGCTAAAAACAAAAAAAACTAGCCTGGACGCCGGCCCCGTGCTGCATGCCCGGGGCTCGGGCGTGACACACAGCAGGCAACCAGCAAGACCCAGGCGCCCCCCCCAGCCTCCGGTGCCCAGGCAAGTCTGCGGAAGAAGGGGCGCCGACCAGCCGAGCTGCACAGGGAGGCAGGGGGTCAGGAGGCTAAGGGAGGGGCAGCATCGCACACGAAGCATGGCCAGGGCAGGCAACCAGCAGTCAAAGGAGGGCCTGGAGGCTCAGGCCCAGGAGCTCTGGAAGAGCAGAATGGGGAGGAGACACGTTTGGGCAGGAGGGCCAGGGCAGGTGAAGGTGAGGGGCGCCCACGGCCACCAGCTACGTCTCTTCAGGGCACAGAGCGCCACGGGCATGCCACAGGCATGTGCTCCCCCAACATGGGAAGGAAGAGAAGAGGCTGGAACGAGGTGGCGGAGCCAGCAAAGGAGAATGACGCATGACCCACACCAGCGAAGGCAAAAGCCCAGGAGAGCAAGGTGCACAGGCCAGACAGACGCTTCTAGGAGGGAGTATCTCAACAATAAAAAGACCAAAGAACACAATTCAAAAATGGGAAGAGGATCTGAACAGACACACCTTCAAAGACATACAAATGGTCAACACGCCTGTGAAAAGATGCTCACTCAACGTCGTTATCAGGAAATGCAAATTCCCTCGAGAGGACAGAAGACGCACGTCCACCGGGGCCACAGCAGCCTTCCTCGTGACGACCCGGAAGAAACAATCCCCAGCGCGACAGCTGAGGAGCGGCACGTCAGCGAGCTCCGGCGGCTCTGACAAACACCACGACCGGACGCCTTAGAGACAGCAGACGAGCCCCTCACAGGCTGGAGTCTGGAAAAGTCCAGGAAAGGGATGCTGGCTTCCGTGTCCGACGAGGACCACCTTCCAGTTCAGAGATGGCGTCCTCCAAGGGTGGAAGGGGCCGGGGGCTCTCTGGGGTCCTTTTACACACAGGCGCTCGTCCCATTTGGGAGGGCTGCCCCCACCGGACCTACTCCCCTTCCTGAGGGCCCGCTCCTGGCCCCGTCCTCCTGGGGTGAGGTTTTGACCTACGGATTTGGAGGGACGTCCAACGGTGGACTACTACTCAGCCACTGAGGCCTTGAGGAGGCTCTGGGAAACCAGTAGGAAACTGCCCGTGCTCGGTGGGCCCAGCGTGTGCCCAGCGTGTGCTCATCAGTCCAAAGCCCCTGAGGCAAGCACCCAGGCCTGCCCTTACGCAGTCCCACAGGCAGGGGCGAGGCTACCCCCCAGCACAGCAGTGTGGCCATCAGGGAT